TTTTTTTTTTTTTTTTTTTTTTTTTTTTTTTTTTTGCGGTACGCGGGCCTCTCACTGCCGTGGCCTCTCCTGCTGAGGAGCACAGGCTCCGGACGCGCAGGCTCAGCGGCCATGGCTCACGGGCCCAGCCACCCCGCGGCATGCGGGATCCTCCCGGACCGGGGCACGAACCCATGTCCCCTGCATCGGCAGGTGGACTCCCAACCACTGCGCCACCAGGGAAGCCCCAATACATATATTTTTGAACAAGGGTCCAATCAAGGATCATGCAGTGCATTTGGATATATCAAGTCTCTTAAGTCTCTCTCTCTTTTTTTTTTTTTGGTTTGTTTGGCCGAGCCACATGGCTTGCAGGATCTTAGCTCCATGACCAGATATTGGGGCCATGGCAGAGAAAGCACTGAGTCCTAACCCCTGGACTGCTAGGGAATTCAGCTCTTAAGTCTCCTTTAACTGAATAATTCCCTTGCATTCCCTTATTCCCCCAAAACAGATAATTTTAGAGTGCCTAGTTGTATTAAGTATAACCCATATGTCCCCAGGCCTCACCAGCCTGCTGTAAGTTACCAGGAAGAGTGGACTTTTCCCGAACTCCCGGCCAGAGGACCTGCTAGCTCCCATAGTTTCACACATCTCTCATGGAAACAGTCCCTCTAGCTTTTGGTCCCAGCCCCTCTAGCTTTTGGTCCCAGCCCCTCTGCCTGGGCTCCAAGCCAAATAAGAACAGAGGTCATGACAGTAGCCCTCATGTCCTCATCTCATTCTCTGTATAAAAAATTTCTTCTCTCTTCAGATCCTCAGAGAAATTCTGAACAGAGCAACTTAGGCAAATTAGAACCCTGCTGTTTACCAACTCACCAGTTTCTCAAACATTTTAATAGGACACTATGCCCCATAAAAGAAGACATTACTTTTATTGTAACTAAAAAGATTGATAATTAATTTTTGAGTAGTTTAAAGCCTTAAAAAGAATCAATTCCCATTTTACCTATACCACTTATATGGTAAAAACAATGTGTAAATGCTGCTGATTTTCATTCTTCACAAATAGGTATGAGAAACACTGCCATTTATAATACTGGGATCTGTGTGTGATAAATGTTGTATACTGAAGTGGTTCACTGAATGTCTTTTCTGAAACCCATTCTGATTAGCAGAATAGATGTTGGTTTTAAATGCTCATACCATAGTATAAAATTTACTTTAATGGTTATTTCTAGATAAGTAACTAGTTTTGACCAATAATTTTCAAAAATTCATAAAAGAGGTTGAATGTGTTTTAGTCTCATCTAGTCTGTTTCAAACTGTTATGCTTTGATGGACTCAAAGAGTAAGAATCTGTTTTCATAATAGTTTAAGTAGTTGTGACCTTCTCAGAAAGTTCCTGGGGGGCAATCTAAGATAGTTACATAAAATACGTGTTTTGGGACTTCCCTGGTGGTCCAGTGGCTAAGACTCCCCACTCCCAATGCAGTGGGCCCGGGTTCGATCCCTGGTCAGGGAACTAGATCCCACATGCTGCAACTAAGAGTTCGCATGCTGCAACTAAAAGATTCCACACACCACAACGAAGATCCTGCGTGCCGCAACTAAGACCCAGTGCAGCCAAGAAAAAATAAAATTAGTTTTCTTGACATTAAGAAAATGTATTAATGTGTTGGTACAAAATTAAGAAAATTAATCTATAATCAAAGTTATAAAACAGAAAACAATTATTTGTGTTACACATGTTCTTTAGAAAAGTCTAGTTTTTAATAACTTTTTAATAATGTAAAGTATAACTGATAAATTTGTGTTTCTAGCTGCCTTCTAAAAATTTTACAGGAGGGTAAGAGTTTGTTTTTTAACTAGATTCCTAAGTTCTGTCATTTTAATGTCTCTTTGCCATTAAGTTTATAGGCTCAGCCTGCTTAGGTTACCTTAAAGGGATCTAGTTCACTCTGGGCCAGTGAACCTAGTGGCTTAACTTTAAGTCAGGCTTGTTTTCGATTTTATTCAATCTTACGCCTGTGTCCAAGTTCTAATTTGGGGCTTCTACATTATTCCTGTACCCAACTGTATATTTTGAACCTCAAATATCTTAACTAGGCCCTTAACTTGTTTTCGGATGTCAGAGGTCTCCCTTAGTTTTTACAGATCTTCTGGGGTTCAATTTTGGCCCTTGAACCCCAACACCAAGTCTTTTCCCTACCACTTGCTGTCAGAACTGCCTTCAGGTAGCCACTTTCTCCCTGCACTGCAGTCTATTGTGCCATACTCTCCTAATTCTGTACTTTTCACTGCCACCACCAATGCCCACCTGCCTTCTGCCATTAACACCACCCACCCCATAAGTGGGTCATACCACCGACTCAGCTCTCATTGTGATAGTAATCATAAAATTCTTCTAAATTAGATATTTGTGGGTGCATTTCACCTACTTGAGGGAAACTGAAACTTATAAAGTATTTATGTCATTGCTTTGTGTGGAAAACTGATTTAAGTTAGGCAGTACATGTTTTTCTAATATTACCTTTAGTATGCTATCCACTAAAATAAAGCAGTATCTAGATTTGTAGCAGGTTATACTTATCAGGATATATATGTATACATATATTATGAAATGTAAATTAAACATATAATGCATTTAATTTGTTTTTCTCTTAGCTTTTTGTTACATAAATTGATATATAACATCACTTAGTGTTAACCTGATTTCTGAGGATTTTGTAGATGCTGGAGGTGCAAAGGCATATAAGGCATCTATCTCTCCCATTAAAGAAATTTCAGTAGAGGGAGACGATTAGATGTAATAATAATATCTTTTAGGTGCTATGATTGAATTCTATACAGAGTAGAGTAAAGGCACTGAAGAGGGAGTAGTAAGTTCTTCTCTTGCAGAGTGGAAGTACAGAACTTTCTGTGAAATAATTCTTGGTCTTGGCCTCAAAAATTAAGAAAAGATTCCCCAAGTTTACAGAGTTGGAGGAAGTAGACAGACTGAATGGGGTATTTCCGATGGGGTATGCCGCTTGAACAAAGGTACAGAAATAAGAGGGATCATCTTGCTTTAGAGGACCTTGAGTAATATGGTGGCAGGCAGACAATAATGCTGGAGAGATAGGCAGGAGCCAGACCACAGAGAACCTTGAAAGCTACCCTGAGGAGCCCAGACTTTATCCTGAAGGCAGTGAAGAGCCATTGGAGGATTTTACAATCCAGGGAAGGGCATTTGTTGCATGATGAGATTTTCCTGATGAGCCAACTTTGTCAGTAGGGTCTAGGATGGGTTTGGGGAACCATGACTGGAAACATAGAGACCACTTAGGACAATCTGATGTTGCTCAGATGAGACAGGAAAGGAGGAAAGCAGTAGAGAAAGAGAGGAGAGGATAGGTATAAGATAAGGAGGTAGAATCAATATAACTTGATTACTTATTAGATACTGTAGAGGAAAGGGAGATTTTTTTGGCCTGAGTGCACTGAGAAAATACAGATGTATTATTGTACAATGTATTATGGTATAGTTTAGATGAGAAAAGCTATAGATGAGCAGCTCATGAGCCAATATCAAAGATTACTAAATTAATGTATGTTTATATATGTCAGATGAAAATAAAATAAGTTAAAATTATTTTTGTGTGATTCCCTGCTTTGACTTTTTTACCTTTGGTCCCACTTTATCCATTTCCCCCACCTCTGGCAGCCACCAGTCTGTGCTCTGTATCTATGAGATTTTTTTTTCTTTCTTTCTAGATTCCACATATAAGAGAGATCATATGGCATTTGCTTTTCTCTGTCTAACTTATTTCACTTATCATAATACCCTTTAGGTACATTCGTGTTGTCCCAAAAGGCAAATTTTTATTCTTTTTTATGGCTGAATAATATTCCATTGTATATATACCAAAATTTCTTTGTCCATTCATCCATTGATGGCCATTTAGGTTGTTTCCATATCTTGGCTATTGTAAATAATGTTGCAGTGAATATGGGGGTGCATGTATCTTCTCGAGTTAGTGTTTTTTTTCTCCAGATAAATAACCAAAGGTAGAACTGCTAGATCATATGGTAGTTCTATTTTTAATTTTTTGAGGAACCTCTGTACTGTTTTCCATAGTGGCTGTACCAATTTACATTCCCACCAACAGTGCACAAGAATTCTATTTTCTCCATATACTTGCCAACATGTTATTTCCTGTCTTTCTGATAATAGTCATTTTAATAGGTGTGAGGTGATATCTCACTGTGGTTTTGATTTGCATTTCCCTGATGATTAATAATGTTGAGTATATTTTCATGTACCTGTTGGCTGTCTGTATGTCTTCTTTGGAAAAATGTGTATTCAGATCTTCTTCCCATTTTCAAGTCAGATTGTTTTTTTGCTATTGAGTTATATGAGTTCTTTATATATTTTGATATTAGCTCCTTATCAGGCATATGATTTGCAAATATTTTCTCTCATTCAGTAGGTTGCCTTTCATTTTATTGATAGTTTCTTTTGGTGTGCAGAAGCTTTTTAGTATAATGTAGTCTCATTTACTTTTGCTTTCATTGCTTTTCTTTTGGTGTCAGATTCAAAAAATCATTACCAAGACCTACGTCATTGCTTATGTTCTCTTCTAGGAGTTCTGTGGTTTCAGGTCTTACATTCAAGTCTTTAATCCAGTTTGAGTTAATTTTTGTGTGTGGTGTAAGACAGGGATCAAGTTTCATTTTTCTGCATGTGGCTGTCCAGTTTTCCCAACACCATTTATTGAAGAGACTGTCCTTTCCCCATTGTATATTCTTGCCTTCTTTGTCATAAATTAACCATATAAGGTGTGGGTTTATTTCTGGGCTCCCTATGCTGTTCCATTGATCTTTGTGTCTATTTTTATGCAAATGCCATAACATTTTAATTACTATACCTTTATAATACAGTTTGAAATCAGGAGGCAAGATGCCTCCAGCTTTGTTCTTTCTCAAGATTGCTTTGGCTATTTGAATTTTTTGTGATTCTATTCAAATTTTAGGATTATTTGTTCTCTTTCTGTGAAAAATTCCATTGGCATTTTGATAAGGATTGCATCGAATCTGTAGATTGCTTTGGGTGCTATGAACATTTTAACAAAAATAATTTCCAATCCATGAGCACAAAGTATCTTTCATGTTTGTTTCTTTTTCGATTTCTTTCATTAATGTCTTATAATTTTCAATATGCAGGTCTTTCACATCCTTGGGTAAGTTTATTCCTGGGTATTTTATTCTTTCTGATGCAATTATAAATGGGATTGTTTTCTTTATTTCTCCTTCTGATAGTTCATTATTAGTGTATAGAAACACAGCTGGTTTTTGTGGATTGATTTTTTTTTATCTTGCAACTTTACTGAATTCTTTTATTCAGTTTTTTTTTTTTGATGGAGTCTTTAGGGTTTTCTACATATAATATCATGTCATCTGCAAATAGTGACAATTTTACTTCTTCCTTTCCTATTTGGATGCCATTTATTTATTTATGTATCTTGCCTAATTGCTCTGGCTAGGACTTACAATATTATGTTGAATAAAAGTGGTAAGAGTGGGCATTCTTGTCTTGCTCCTCATCTTGCGGAAAGGCTTTCAGCTTTTCACTGTTGAGTATGACATAAGCTGTGGGCTTGTCATATATGGCCTTTATTATGTTGAGATACGTTCCCTCTATACCCACTTTGTTGAGATTTTTTTTTTTAATTTGTGAAACAAGTTTAGCAAAATATATTGAGGATAAAAGCCAGAAACTGATATAGAAAAGCCAAATTAAAAAATATACAAGTCTTCCCCCAAATATTGATAAGACCTAGCACATTACCATTGATTTCAGTTTTCAGGGTTTGTTTAAAAATGGAGCAAGAACTCAAAAGTACATGTGAAGCAATTTGAGTGCAGAAATCCTTATTCTTCCTCTATCATTTATGTTTGTTTGGCCTACAATGAACTAAACTGCAATTTTTTTTTTAGTGGTTCAGCTTTATCAAGTTTTTCCAAAGCATGCATTTGATTTTCTTAAGAACTACAGTGATTTTTGTTGTCCCATTTTTTATTTATTTGTTAATTATAATAAAATGTGCAGTGGGCATAAATAGATGTAGAGGGAAAAAACAGACAAAAGTCCAGAAGGGTTACCACCTGCCTGGGGCATGCAGTATGCCCTGGCATGAGTCACTCAGTTAAGAGAGCTTCGTCTTCAACTATAGGTGTGACAGGTTTTAGGAACTGAGAATACAAAGGGGAATAAGATGCTTTTATGGTATAGTACAAGAGGCCAATTAAACATTATATATATATTTTGAAGGGACATATAAAGTGTAGTACAAGAGAAAAAAGTACTAATTTTGTCTGTTTAAAGAACTTTTCCATAATTAACACCAGTTCACACAAATATTTCTTTACACTGTTGTTTCAAATATGCTCTATATGAATGATGAGAAAATGCATACAAAGGATAAATACATGTATCATATTCAGTGTTTTTTTTTTTAAAGAACATACTGATAAAGATCAGATTTTTTTTTTTTTTGCTTGAGGGAGGAGGGGAGATGTAGTTCATCAGCTGTTGATATCAGAATGGGTGAGACTGCCCAGTGAATGTGTCTAGAATTAGAAAAGTGTCTAGGACATAATTACAAGGAATATCTACATTTGAGGTATAGACAGAAGAAGGAAGTCAAAGGAGTAAAAAGGAAATTAATAGAAAGTGTTATCATAGAAGTCAAAAAAGGAGAGCCCTTTAACAAGGGAAGTGAACAGAACATATTTTTTTTTACCTTTTTCATCTAGGCTGTGAGCAGAAGGAGAGAGAGTAGTTTATTAGAGGGAGAGTGAGAAGGGACTTTTTTTAAAATTTAGTAATTTGAATATTTTATGTAAAGTGGAGAAGGAAAGCTTAAGAAAACAGGAAGAGAGGGAAGCAGAATAACAAATAAAGGCCCCATAGGAAATGGAAAGAGT